TTTTTTTTTTTTTGCCCTTAGGAAAAGTAGATCTTTTACATGGCTTGGCTCACAATTTAAGTGGTTATAAATATATATACATATGATATAGTGGTATAAATAGATTTATAAATATACATCATTTTTTGCTACACTTTGAACACCAACATGTAATCTTTGGGCTTAGCAGAATAAAAGAGAGAATGACACAGTCTATCTTGCTGGAGCACATTTACTCGGCTTCTCCTGCGGAGAAGCAAATCATTAGATAAGACATTATTTCCTGCAGTACTGGACACACTCAATGAGGTAACTGTTGTTGAACAACTTTGCAATGCCCTTTCATCTTCCATTAAATTAACCATAAAATGTAAAAACACAAATACTGAGGAACATCTGAGTTTTATGGAAAAAATACAATTGACGTGTTGGGGATAGGAATATTCATTACCCGCTTTTACCCCAAAATGACCAGAATACCCGTTTTTTTTGTTGTTGTTTGTGTGTTTGTTTTTAAAGAGTGGCCTGAGCCTATCTACCTCAAATCCTTCCTGGTAGAGCACCATGTTTGTGCAATTTTGACATTAAAAAAAAAAAAAAAACAACAAAAACCAACAACAAAACAACACCCAGACTCAAGCCCCCAAACTTCACACATACGAAGCCACCTGTGCTTTGGGGGAAATTTCGCAGTGGTTTTAAAACATGGCATTTTGTCTTCTTCACATTTTCTGACAATACAATGGTATGCAAAAGTCATGTGGCCGCTCTGAATGGCCACAGGACTGTGGGGGACGGGGGCACGGGTGGTGGGAGGATCCTGCTGTTTTGGAGACAGGTTGGTAAAGCCTTCCTGTTGCCCTTCTGGTAAAATTGTGGCTGGGGGAAAAACATGAACTATCAACAAAAACATCCAAGGTTCCCTTTCTTATTTCTTCTACTTAAGTTATTATTGGGTAATTCTGCACACATACCCCCAAGTTATATACACTGCTGTTCAAATGATAGGATCCCAGGAATGAACACATCAACTGTCTAACATTGGCAATACCCAAACCTCATTTTCAAACCATTATTAGCGAGAGAGAGGTTGACTGAAGTCATATATTTGTTTAACGAAATCTTAGGTACTTATAGAGATGTGCAGAAATTATCTACAAAGAATGGCCACAAGACAAAAATACATTTATACTCAAATTACAAGGAATCTTTCCAGTTATTGTAAACTTTTTTAATTATTGCTTTCTGAATGATAAATTGTATAATAAATTATGAAGGATTATCATTGAAAAAATAATTAAGACTAGGCAAGAGTCTTAGTAATGGGAAGGCTATGCAAACATATCCACACAAATATTCAAAATACACAGGGGCAAATATATAGACATGGGAGTAAATAAGTATATATAATATGTATATATATATATATATATATATATTTATATATATATATATATGGCCTTTGCCTTGTTCATGCCCTGAGATTTCAGTAACTTTGGAGTTCCTTCTTTAATTCCAGAGGTGAGGGGAAACCATTTGCTATCAAGAGAGCTTTGCAGAGCTGGAATTACGTACAAGCAACTTCCTACAGGCACCCTGACTCACCAAGTCATAACTTAAGAAACAAAACAAGTGTTTTCGGAAAATCTTAAGGATCCATTGGTTCGACTGTTTCTTGTTTGACCTTTACAGGTACCAGAGGTAGCGGGTTGCTGGGAGGCAACTTCATGAGGGGCAGATCTGATGACTCGTAAAGGCCACACCCTGAGGAGAGGAGTCCATTCCCCATGTTTCTTTGCAAAGACACTTTCAGGCCAGTTTCTTCTTTCTCTTTTCTGACCATGGCCAGAATTTCCTTCTCCACGACAGAGACCACATTGATGTCATCCTCCATGTCCTCGAGCCGGTCAGCATTGTCGCTGATGTCAAACTTCTCGATTTCTTCATTGATTCGGGTCAGGTCTTCCAAGGGCAGCCCGGGGGCTGGGGCTACAGGGCAGTTCCCCTTCAGGTGAACCTTGAGGCTACAGAGATGGATGTAGTTCTTGTGGCACTGGGCGCACTTGTGGGGCCGCTCCCGGGTGTGCAGGCGCTTGTGCAGTTTCAGGTGCACGAACTGGGTGAACTTGGCAGGGCACACCTTGCACTGGTACGGTTTCTCTCCAGAATGGAGTCGCAGGTGGGTCTTGAGATTGCTGGTGCTGCTAAATCGCTTGTGGCAGACCTACAGTGCAGGCAGAGAGACAGCAGGGAAGGGAGACAGGAAGACCAGAAGATTAAGAGCTGCCGATGGGAGGGGAGGGCTTACAGGCCAATGCCCAGCAACCTGGGAGGTCAGAAGCCTCCATGTGGCACCTCCAGTGTGGTATGAAGCAAACAGAGGGATGTGGGCACACTGCACACGAGGGGCTGTTTCTCTCCCCTACCATTTTCCCACCCTCTGGAAGCTGGGCCTGTCCTCTCAGCTCATCAGCAGATACAGAGCACTGGGGAGGCCCGCAGTGTCATCCGCCTGGGACGAGGCAGAAGCTTGTGTTGGCTTTACGGGCATGTAGAACATGCGAGGGTGACTCACAGACATTTTCTACAAAGGTCAGAAGGTCTACCCAGAGAATACTGCGCACCTGGCATTCATGTGGCTTTTCTCCCGTGTGTACCAGGTAGTGTTTCTGCAGGTGGGCGAGCTGAGTAAAGCCCTTGTTGCAAGTCTGACATTTGAAAGGCCGTTCTCCACTGTGCACTCTCAGGTGGACCTGGGAAGAAGCCACATGTGTTAGCTCTGCTCTCAAGCCGGCTCTGAGACCTAACATTTCTGCTCAAAGACTCAAGTGTTTAGGCTGCAAATAGCTTAAGAAAAGCATCAAGACAGTCTTAAACAGAATCAATCTTAGTGTTTTCAGAATGGTGCTTTTCTTAAACTAAAAGCACAATAAGCACAGGCTAGCAGGGAGTTTCACCTAAGCTTCTAGTCCAAACCCCCATTTTTAAAAAATTATTATTCAGAAGAAAATCAGGAGAGGGGAAATCACTTGTCCAAAGCCACAGAGCTAGAAGTGGCAAAAGTTAGGTAGAATCCATACCCACTTCTTCTCCCAACCTGAGGCTCACACTGCTGCAGATGCAACTGACACCCTGTGGAGGGCAAGCTAAACACAAACACAAGCACACACTCACAGCCCCACAGCCCCGGCGCTGCTCTGTCTCGAGGCCTACCTTCAGATTGGAGAGCTGACCGAAAGTCTTGGCGCAAACGTTGCATTCGTACTTGATCTTGCCGTTCTGCTTCTTCAGCGGGTAGGGAAGGGTCTTGTAGCCAGTCATGTTTCTTTTGTTTTTAATGAGATTCATGGCTTCATCGCTGCTGGGGGCTGCCATCGCTGCTGAGGTAGCTTTGGGCTGCACCACATGTTCTGCCGTGGCGGCTATGCCCGCCGTGGGAGACCCGCTCGTGGGGCTACAGGCCTTGTCCTTCATGCTGGCAGCGGCCCCGGTAAGGGAGAAGGCACTGTGGGGCGCTGGGACAAGCACCTCCCTGGGATGCTCCGGCTGCAGCAACCTCCGGGCTCCGTCTGAGGGCAGCGAGCTTGGGAGGGAAGGGGGGTTGAGCACGGGGTGGGGCAGGCTGCCCCCACTGAGGAAGTTGCTGTAGACAGGGCACAGCCTCGGGAAGAGGCCAAAGTTGTTGATGCCATTCATGTTGCTCACAGCGCCCAGGCCATTACAATTCATGCCGTAGGGGGGCAGGAGGAACTTGTGGTAGTGAGCGTTGTACGAGGGGATGAAGGCTGGCGGGAGGTGGGGCAGGGGTGAGTAGCCGGGGTAGGAGCCCAAACCTTCCGTGCCGTAGGGCGCGTTCAGGTAAGCGTAGGAGTCCCGGTGCTCTTGAGAGCCGGGGCCCGCAGGGGACACCGTGTTCCCAGGGCTGCTGTGGGGGCTGGAGCTTTTGAGGCTTTGGTCGGGGCTGCTTCTGGCAGAGGGGCTTGGAGTGGTGGAGGATGGAATGGGGGAGTGAGTGATGTAAGTGGGTCTCTCCATCCCGTAGGCCAGGGAAGCTTTCCAAAAGTCTTCTGGCAGAGGGGCCCGGATGGGGTAAACAACCCGAGGGTAGGAGGGCATTTCGGGGCTCCCGTGTCTTCTAAAGTCATCGAGGTCCTTTTCCGATGTGAGGGGTGAAATGTTAGAACGGTAGAGGTCCTTTCCTTTGGAGGGGTTGGAGTCCAATTTGAGGATTTCTTTCACGCTGTGCTCTCTCTTTGGGACATTCTTTGGGCAGAGTTCATTTTTCTCGGTGCTCAGTTGCTTTAGATTGCTCTGTGTTTGTGCTGAAATAAAGAAGAAGGGGCGATTACACAGAAGCCTGGAGAGAACTGAAGCAAAATTGCCAAAGCTGCTGCCCCTTCTTGAGAAAGCCTGAGTACCAGCTGGGAACACAATCCCATACATCTGACTTCCCACGCGCTCTCATGCTACAGAGCTCTGGGCCTCTCACTCAGAAGTGCCGTTCCGTTTCCTTCTCAGCAAAAGGGGGACAATGGCAGCACGGACAGAACACACAGCCGCACTTGGATGATTCGTAAGCACACACCTTACGACAGAAAACTGCTGTTTGAGCTGGAGTCAGATAGTGCCCATTAAAACCACGTGGAAAAACACTGAGGTGGGGACGCTGTCACAAGTTAACAAAAGTCTTTCTGATGTTCATGGTTTACCTAAAGGAAATCAGCACACCCTGAGAACTAAATGTGAGAGATTAAGACTCATTTCAAGTAATACAGAGTCATCAATTTCCACCTCTACTCTTGTTGAATACGAATTTGATAAAACCCTGTTCAAACTGCCTATGCCAAGGTGCTTAGCGAAGTGAATGGCACACCTTCCCTGTGCTGTGCAGATGGCCTAAGCACTTCAGCAAGGCTCTGTCTGGTCTAGCCAGGATCCCAGCAGCGCTAGCCCCTGGAATCACAAGGCGTGACAGCCACCTCTGCCAAACCACAATAGGTACTTCCTGAGCCAGTTCAATTACTTAGTGCACCCAAGAAAACAGAGCAGGCTAACAGGAAAGCATTTATTCCCAAAGATGGCACATTATTACTTGGTAAATGTACTATTTAGGAACAGCAGCAATGAGGACAGTTCTAGACTATCCCTGCCACAGCCAGCCCTGTCTCCCTGCTACACAATAAATAATGCCTTCCGGAAAACACCCATCTGAGCAGGGAAAACTGAAAATTCCCTGCTCAGCCCTTGCCTGGAAACCAAAAGTAAAACATAAGTTGTTTAGGTTTGAGCTCTGATTATTGGAGGGCAGTCGCTCAAGCCAGGATACCCCCGCCCTAGGAACACACGGAGGGCATTGGCTGTCGATGATGTGTGGAGATGCCTTCAGAGGCGGCAGGTTTGGGAGAATGCGCTGAGGCCTTTGTGCAAATATCCTTCATCATCTAAAAAATGTCCCTGCTTGAATTTAGTGGAGAAAGAACTCCAGGCTTGCTATCTGATAGATCTAGAAATGAACTCTGTGAAACTCCAGAACTGAACCCTTCAAATCTATTCTCTAGGCTGACTGGCTTGAGGGATTCGATTCCAGTTTGAGAGCCCCTCAGAGAATGTTATCTCCTGCCAGCTGTTATCAGTTCCTCCTGGGCGAGCCTGAAGCCCCAGAATAAACACAGAGAACACTATCAGGGAAGATGCTGATGGGGGCTGTGATGGAAAGCTTGCTGAGGGAGAGGGATTTCTGAAGCCACTAAACCAAAATAAATATCTCCTTATCAGGCCAATATCAGTCTTTCAGTGAGGCCCAGCAGGCAGGAAGTTCTAATTGTCACTTTTGTTTTTTAAAGCTGAAATGGTAAAGGACAAGAGAGACAACTAAGCTGGAAAACTGATAGCAAGGCATCTCACAGCCACAGGAAGGAATTTTATGAAGGTGAAAAAGAATGACTTGGAAACAACTATATAGGCTCAAATTAATAATGCTTTTTTAAAACGATGCCACTCTAAGAAAAATGAAAATACAAAAAACTTTACCCTCATGACTTGTGAGCCATTTTTAGGTGGCAAATTACATATCTAAGTCTCATATTTTTTACAGTGGCTTCCATACTCCCTTGGTTCTATAAGTTAACAAATAAGAAGCATAAATTTGCAATAAGCATAAAGTTTCAGTCCATCCATGGCAATGCCCCTCACATTTAGCTAGGCATTCTTCTTAAGCACCTTAATATAATTTGATTATTGAGCTGATATGAAACTTATGATTGGGCCAACAAAAAAGTCAAAATTTTAAACTTTCTTTTTTTTTTTTTTT